GGGCTCCCCTGCTCCCCCCACTGCCCCGAGGGATGAGGCCTGGGGGTCCCCCAGCAGCCCCCCCACTGGAGTGCCTTTAAATAGGGGTCACCCACATCCCTCGGGGCCGTCCTGCCCCCCAGGGGATCAAGGTACAACACTAAAGAGGAGGGAGGTCCCAGGGGAGGGAGTCCTGGAAGTTGGGGTGTTCCTGGGGTGGGGGTCCCCAGGTGAGGATCCCTGGGCTGAGGTTTGAGCCTGGTGGGAGAGGAGCCCTGGAATGGGGGTCCTGGGGGTAGGAGGATCCCTGGATCAAATCCCCCCGTGCGGGGGCTGTGCCCACATCAGGGGGTCCCCATCACGGGGGGGCCACCCCGGCAGGGCTATGCCCAAACTAGGGTGTCCCAGTGCAGGACAGTGCCCACGCTGAGGTGTCCCCTGGGTCGGGTGTCCCTGTCCCTGCAAGGGGTGTGTCCCCACATGGGACATCCGTGTCCCTGCATGGCGTGACCCCACGTGGGACATCCCTGTCCCGGTGCGGGACATTCCTGTCCTGGTACAGAGTGTCCCGGCGCTACTTTTCGGTGAGGGAGAGGCGCAGGATGCGCTGGAGCTCCTCGTCCTCCTCACGCCGCCGTCGCTCCCGCTCCTCCTGCTCCCGCTCCGAGAGGGCCATGGCCAGGCGCAGCTGCTCCGCGAAGGTGCCGTACCCAGGGGGGGCCGGGGGGCTCCCACCACCCGCACCGGGGGGGCTCCCAGCGGCCGGGGGGTCGGTGCTGGGCCTGGCCTGCAGCAGCATGCTCTCCTGCAGGGCCCTGCCAGGGGGACAGCAGGCGTGGCCATGTCCCCTTTGTGGAGGCCACACCCCCTTTGTGGAGGCCACACCCCCTTTGTGGAGGCCACACCCCCTCTGACACACCTGTGCCCCACCCACCCCAGGTGGCCACAACCTGCTTCGCAATGCCAAAATGGGCTGGAGAGACACACACCCCACATGCTCCACCCACACCCATCACTAGCCCCACCCTCTATGGCCACACCCTTTTGACAGTAAGATGCTCCTCCCCTCTTTGTGGCCCCCCAAACCTTGACACTGTTAAGCCCTGTCCCTCTAAGCCACACCTCATGGCCCTGCCCCTCTCCCACCAACTTTTTAAGCCTCTTTAGGCCACACCCCTCTACCCCACCCTGACACCTTTAAGGCTCACCCCCTAAGCCATACCCTCAGAGCCCCTTCCCTACCCAATCTGACACCTTTAAGCCCTTCCCCTTTAGGCCACATCCCTATGGCCACACCCCCTCCCTTCTTCTCAATTGGACACACATAAGCCCCTCCCCTCTAGGCCACACCCATGTGGCCCCTCCTCTCCCCAATTTCACACCTTGAAGCCCCACCCCTCTAAACCACACCCCATGGCCCCTCCCCTGCCCCACCCTAACACTTTTGGGCCCCTCCCTCACACCAGGTGAGGTGGGTGTGGCACCCCACACCCCACGGGTAGAGCCCCACCTTTCCAGCTGCAGGTCCTCGTCGTAGGGCGGCGGCTCCGCGCCTGGGCGGGTGTTGGTCAGCGCCTCCCAGATGGTCACCTGTGGGGTGGGGCTGCAGGTGAGTGGGTGTGGCCAAGTGAGGGGGTGTGGCCAGGTGAGTGGGTGTGGTGAGGTGAGGGGGGCATGGCCGCACCTGGTCGGTTTCGGTGCCAGCGTCCAGCAGGCTCTGCTGGATGG